TACAGATATTGAGATCATTATAAAAACTAAATTAATTTATGATTGCAGAAACATCACGAGTCACATATTTTATAAATTTGAGATAATAGTAAAAACGTTTACTAGTCATGTGTTTCTATGCGTTGAGTGTAAAAACGTTTTTAATTGTACTTTATTTATCTGATAAAAAAAAGTAAAACTAAAGCTTTTTTCCACTCAACACATAGAAACACATGACTATACTAGTCACGTTTTTACTAATATCTCAATTTTATGAAATATGTGACTTGTGACGTTTCTGCAACCATCGATTCAAATATAATTATTGATACTGATGTAACTGATGTATAATTTTAGTTCAGATATCTACAGGATCTTAACAATACATAACATTCTTACTTTATCACTTAAAGTAAAATATTTTCATGTTGAGTGTACCATTACATATTATAATATTGTCGTATGACCGAATATATATTTTAATATTATATTAGATTTATGTATTAAATCTCTTTGTTCGATTTTGTTTGTATTAATAATAATACGATTTGAGTAACTGAATTGTATTCTGTTGAAGCACATTGAATAAATATAACAAAATAATAGTTTAGTATTATTGCCACATATAATACGATTTTATTGTAATCAAAAGGTTTCCATACAATAATAATACTAATGATAATGGTAGAAAAAAAATCAAATATTTGTCTGGTTACAAAAATAATAATAATAATGTTAAAAAAAAAAAAAACCATCGTGATTGGTTTTATTATAGATAAAACATTAGTCACTATATAAAAAACATGCAAAAATAAATTAATCATTGTAGTGTTAAGAAATGTTGAATAAACATTATATTTCATTTACACAGCGTTACTATTTGAATTCCAAACACATGTAAAACAAAAAATTGTGATACGTGTCGAATGAAAGCTCAATAAATTATAAAACTCATTAAGATGATTAAACAAAAAAAAAAAAAACGATTGTTCTGTTGTAATATAGATAGAAGATTGATTAAATTATTTATGTTATTTTTATTATTGCGTTTCCGTGGTATTTTTTCAAGTTGTAGATCTTACGATTCTCAAACTATATACATGTACAAATGCATTAAATGCGCAGAACCACGGGATTTGAATATACTGATGCCGTTTAAGAATAGGCGCCTTGCCAATAGCACTATAGCATTCTACTAAAGTACTATAATTATGTTTATTTTTATACTCATGAATTCAGTATATTATAGAAAAGCAGTACAGGAGTAAAGTGCCATTAACGATATTATTAACACTAACTACTATGTACACGCGTTCACTTTTTCACTTTTTGTTTACTTTTTTTTTTTAGTATTTTGAGATTTATTTAAGAAATAACGAAACATTACAAAGTGTGTACGGATAAATGATTTTGTATACAGCATGAAATTGATATTGAGTACACCTGCCAATAAAAAATACTTTAATACGTTTAATACAATTGTTACGGAATATAATTTATAATTTAAAGCTAGGTAAGATGAGACTTACAACTAAGCAAACAAGGGTAATACCAAGGAATGTTGTGAATTTGTAATATAAGTTACACAAAGAATGACGTTGATGGGTGAAATCACGGTAGTAGATATAAATACTAAGATGTAACGCATTTTATTTATATTATTATTAATTGAAAATCTTATTTCAATAATAATAATGTCATTCTATAAAAAACATATAATTTTAACACATCTTTTATATTCATAATAAATACAATTGATTACAACTTAACTTTGAAAGGCATACATTTAAATCACATTTGATTTGACAAAAAAAAACATTTTATAAAGTGCCACGATGTCTACATAACAGATTATTTTAACAAATTACATAAACAAAATCAATTACTTTTTAAAACATAGATTTTTATCTTTTAATATGACTATAACTACATACGGACTACGGTCAAATGTATTGAATTAATCATTACTAGACAAACATACGTATATTTGAATATTTATTACGTATATTTGAATATTTATTCGATAGAATAAGATCAACATCATTTATCACATAAATTTGTGTACAATATACAAATGTATTAATTAATAACTATAAATATTTGAACTATAACATATTATTATTTTTGCTGGATGTTCCGTTTCAGGTTTCAATGTTTCATTTAACATTCATCGTTCCAACAATTATTTAAAAAAAAAAATATAATATAATATAAAACTTAAGTCTAAAATACTTAAAATAATAGTTTTACAAAATTTTCAGGCACCTATAGAGACATACGTATATGAATGTATTGATACTTTGATACTGTATTTCACAGTATTCAAAATATAACAAAAATAATACGTTCCAAAATATATTACAGTAGTTTTTAAAAATTAATACATATGGTCAATACAAATAAAAGTGAAGTGATATTTTGTTGGTTAAGGGTAATCTCTAAAATTAATTATTCAATAAAAGAGTGGATTTTTTTTTTTATAATAAAGTATATTGCAGAGTATATCTTATAGCTGATTTCAATTCTCGAGTTAATTTAATAATTATGTATAACACTCCATTACCGGCAATATTTTACCCTACGTTGTCAATTTTAAATAAAGTTAAAAACCGAAGTATTACATTCTCCCACTGTCGAGTACTTGATTGATTTTTTTTTTTAACTTCAATTGAAAATGGAAATAAAATTTCAATTAATTTACGTTTTAATTAAAATAATTAGGCAACTCGAGTGGAGCCGAGAAAATCAACTAGCTTACATAAACACGAGGTATGTTCAATAAATACCCAAATTAAATTTCTTAAACGTTTTATGGAAAAGTTACAAACTATTTAAATGGATCATCTTCAAAATTGCTTCTATACAGTGATTACAACAGTCCTGTCACTTATGAAAACTTCTTTGTATTTTTTCTAAAATTATAGACTTTAGTTATTCTATCGCATTAGAAATAGTTTCATTGACGTCCTTAAATGTCTATCCTTTTATGATAGTTTTTTGTTTTAAAAACAAAAACAAATCATAAGGAGCCAAGTCAAATAAATATGGTAGGTGTGGTACTACAAGTAAATTTTTAAGTGCAGAAAATTTGCGAACGGATATTTTCGAATGTGCTGGCGCATTGTCATGATACAAAATTCATGACTGATACCCATGCACCTGGCCTTTTACGCAGAGCCGCGTTTATTGGAGAGCAAGGAGGGGGCAATTTCCCCAGGGCGGCAAATTTTATGATGATTGATAAGGCGGCAAATTATTGAGGATCAACATAAAATAAAAAATATACAATTATAATTTTTCTTGTACAACTGTATAACTATAATACATATTATTTCTATTACATATATTATTTTTATTTTGAATTGTAATTTTTTAAAGATGGCATATTTTAATTTACCCCAGGGTGGCTACATAAATTAACGCGGCACTGCTTTTACGATGTGCTTTTTCTCTTAGTCTTTCCTAAACTTAATAATAACTTATTCGATTTATTGTTTGGTCTTTAGGTACAAAATTATAATGGACTAAAACATGACTAAATTGGTAATTTCTTACTTTTTTTCAAACAAGAGTATCTTCTATTCATGATTTTAAAGATCGCCCAGGAAGTTGGTTATCATCAATGGAGATTTAACCTTTTTTGAAAAGTTTTAACTTGTTAATAGTTACACAACGACTAGAATGACCTTCAAAAGTTAATTTTGTTAAGTCAAAAGTCTCCATGACACTTTTACCGATTTTGAATCAAAATTTGATACACGCGCGTTATTCCCATAATATTATCCATCGTAGTATCGCGGTTTCATACAAAATGTTCCATTTCAAACATATAATGTAAATTTCTGGTTTCGAGATAACAACTTCAATTGTATATTAAAATACTGGAAATTATCTCTACTTTATTTTTCTATAACAATATCCCATAACGTTTTCTTAAACATTAAATATCTTAATAACGTTTGTTTTCTTGGAATAATATTAATCTGGGTATTTATTGAACACACCTCGTATATACGAGTATGTATGTATGCGTATGTCTTACTATTATGTTTTTATGATAACATTTTACTAGAGATTTAAATTTGTTGTAGCGTGTGAGTATAAAGTAATACTATAATTTCAAAATAAATATTTTGAAAACTATTTATTTTTATTTACCATTGTTATCAATACAATATAATGAACATTCCATACAGTTACAAGATACTTCCTATAAAAACAATTCAACAGGATTTTCCTGTACTTACGTTATGCAAACTGCATTTAGAAAGAATTTAGGTCAGGGGTCGGCAACCCACGGCCCGTGGGCCACATGTGGCTCGCAAAGCAATTTTTTATGGCCCGCACAAAGGTGGTTAATTTTTGTGTTTTATTTTTGTTCAATAAAATTTTTCATTCAATTTTCAATACTATTCAGTTCTTTTTTCTTTATTAATAAAATCTAATCTAATCGTTAATAGTTGATGTTTATTCTATATAGTTATATAGTCAGTTTAATCTATAAAATTGTTATTATTATCTAATCGGAGTCGAAGATAATGATGGTTGCACTACTCAGTCATAGGATAAATTAAATATACTTATATACCTATATTTAAAAATTAAAATTTTAAATATATTTAATCTATGTATTTACCTAATACATGTGTATCTAATATATTTAATCTATGGTCATAGTTACTTTGCGTTTGTAGCAATTTGTACCTATTACACTGTGATTACGCGTATGTGTGACTGTTTGCGTTTGTAATATTTTCATTTTACAAGTAAATCCAAACATTATAGCGACTAAAAAAAGAAAAATTTATAATGAATATCGTTTTTTTTTAATAACTCTTGGGTTGATTTATACTTTTTCGTCGAAAACAAAGGTAAGCCATTATGTTTAATTTGTCAAAAAATTAAATTTTTTCTCAAAAGCAATTTTTTCCAGTAACATTCGTAATTTTTACACTCATATTTCTATAAAAAATAATCAAATATAATAGCAATACAATTATTAGTACATATCATAAATAAAATTTTTTTTTAATGTGGTCTTTGATTAACATTTGAAAAAAAAATATGGCCCGCGTGGTTCAAAAGGTTGCCGACCCCAGATTTAGGCAATTATTCCTCTACTCGTATGGGATTTTCGTTTTAGAAACTCTAGAACCCCAAAAGAACTTTTGTGATTTATCTCAATTTTTAACTCTGATTTAATTTTTTTTCTATTTTATAGAAATAAAATTGTAAGTGCGAGAAAGCAAGAGAGATCATACAATATTACACTTTTTTTTTATCTGTTATATAGATAGTGGTATTCGATCTTTATCAAATCCTTCCCTAATAATACCTTTTAGTAAAATTATTTTATTTCAAATATTATTAATGATTGCAATCGACGTTGCATGTAAACAATTCACTATAAATTAATTAAGCATGTTTTAAATGGACACCAATAATAGCCTCCTTAAAGAATAGGTTTAATGACTAAAATCTCTATGTATATACTCGTAGGTATAGTATGTATAAGTACAATGTGATTACAAATGTGGATGCATGTGTACTAGTGCAAAAAACGATCGGTCAGACTTTAGAAAATAAATATTATTCAATCGATTGCACAAGCCCACGATAGCAATGCTATAAAAAAAGGCACTATTTCATTAACATTTTTGAGGTTTTACACGTATAACGTATTTTGCACTGCAGATATGTATATAGGCAGACTGTACATGGTACTACAATGACACTTCAGGTAGTCTAAAACCACATTTTTGTTCGATTATCCTCGGATTTGCTGTGTATCCTGTTTATAATTTATTTTTATAGGCGGATTCGTGTATCTTATTCAAAAAACTTGGTCCGTGTGAAATCGCTTAACGCATCTAAAGAAAAAGAATGAACGATAAAATGTGCTGCAGCACATTGAGGGTCGTCAAAAGGGCGATTATTTGATTAATCGTCGAGTGGGCTCCGCCGGCCGCGACTGCCGCTGTGTAGAACGCATGCATGTACGTATACGTACCAACAATAATAAAATACATCCATACGTTTGGACGAGTGTTTGTATACACTGAAATTATATCCAAGCTCGCTACTCCATTTTTTGAACAGTGAAAAAATAACTTTTATACGAACCTATCTACTCAATTATGTTTGATAATTTTATGTGTAATTAAAATAAATATTAAAAATATCACTTTTAAACACTGTAAAAAAACACTATTGCACTAGGTTTTGTATATGTGTCAATAATAACGAAGATATAAATAGCAATTTTACGTTAGAAAATTGGATTATTAAATATCGAGAATACTATCCTGAGCGATAACAATAATAAAAGCCAAGCATTTGTTTGAAACACGGATTTTTTAAAAAAAAACATGTTTCCAAACAATAATGTCTTAAATCTTATTATTATCGAAAATATCTTACAATATATGTTGCGTTTCAAATGTGATCAACATTTACCAAACACTAGTTGTAAAATTCCACAAACACGACTTCATAAAGGCTACTTTGACAACATTCACTACGGTTTTTTGGTATATGTTGACATACACTGGTGATTGTTAACATTCACCGACTTCGATCATACACTTTAACATATATATATATGCTTGTAATATATATTGTGTGCATATAAAATGATAAGTAATTATCGTCCATCCGCTGCATATTTTACGCATACATTTTCGCGAGTGTAACAACATCGACATAATTTGGGAAAAAAAATAATAAAGAAAAACGAATTGCACTAATAACATATTGTAACAATTGATCTTTATCAACATTGCGTATTACTCCTTTATTATAACCCAGCTAACATGTTGAATGTGTGGAAAAGGAATGAGGTCATGAACGAATGCTGACTAAGAGATTTTGGCGTGAATATACAGCCAGAGCGATGACACAGCAAAGACATTAATGAACGAGTACCGACACAGTAACAGAGCCGTGTACAGAGGTGCCCAAGTCAAAAAACCACCATTCCGACTGCCATCAATATCATCCTCAAGTCCACTGCGGTTCTCACCTACTCGCCTACTAAATTCTAACATACGCGGTATCGTATTTATATTATTTTATATGTTAATTAATTGTATATGTCACCTTTGTACTATTATATGAGATAACCCTGTTCCCTAATTATTAAATATCACACACCGAAGTTAAGTTCTGAGACATCGTCGAATTAAAATTACACCGGAAACAACACCAGGTAATAATCAATATAAGAGGGGACATATTTATGTATATGCACGTGTGTATGTGCGTGTGTGCGCGTGTATTCACGATGTATCTTTCGTGTGTTCCGTTCAGTCGATCAATCGATTACCTGTTGTTCGGTGACTTCCTTGAGTCTGATTCTTCAGGTTACTGTAATTGACGTTTCTGGTGTGTTCGCTATCTGCAACATTTTTTCGTCCGTCAATCAACACGGCAAGAAGTCGGAGGAAATAAAAAATTATTTAAATATACATATCAATAATGTATAAATTGAATAATAATAATCCGTGTATAATGTACGATGACAGAAAACTACAATATCGTCACGCGAATAAAATACAAACGGATTAGGTAGATACATCGCTGCGGTGACGTCGAGTGCGAATCGAACGGTTCGGTTTCAAAACCGACACGGGTGATGGACGAAATTATTAAATTCACGCCTGTCGTCGAAAATTCGAGTATTATGCCCAACAACTTTTTATCTGCATTGTCAAAGCATGGACAAAATAGATAAATACATTTCGGAAAAATAATACGGATCGTGTAGCAAGTATTATTTAGAATGTTAATGATAGGGGAGTAATTGTTAGATTAATTGATATGTATTACTGAAAATCATTGTAAATACTGTTGGCTGACAAAATTTTGACCGAGTGAATACAATTTTTTTACAATAAATTAGTCATATTTATATATTATAAGAGAGCCGAGCATTATGTGGTACAGAAAAATAAGAATGAAACGATTTATTCTTCGAAATTTAAATTTTTCAAACAATTCGATCAATTAAAAATCAAATTTAATCAAATACTGCACAATATCATAAAAGCATATTATTACAAAAATAAAATGTTCACAATATTTATAAAAAATCTACACATATAATAAAATTATTTAAGGTTTTAATTTTGTTTAAAATATATTTGTTAATAACTACATATTATTTTTAAAATTATTACTATTAATTACTAATAAAAGTTATTACTCATTATTATTAAATTAATTATATTATTGATCAGAAATTAAAATATTTTCTTCATTTATAATTTTAGAATCAAAAGTACCTATACAAAGTAGCAGAACATGAACGTTTTACACAATGCAAACGAATCTCACGTGTATTTATGTTATTTGAACCAAAATCGTATTTATAATCATAAAACATTAACATATCTTTGCCATACTTTTTAAAATATAGCTATTTTAGTATAACGTGATATGTTAGCAATTTACACAACGCACTGACCACGGTCAAAGATAATACAGTGAAACTTCGGTATCTTGAAGTCTCAAGGGACAAAAAAAAAATTCGACATATCGAAACTTTGAATATCGGAATTTAAAACATAAATAAAATTTGAAATAAAAATGTTTAGTTATTATTAGAAGTATTTTTAATAAAACTACCTAAGCTATTAAACGTAGAGAAAATGTTGTCAGAAACTTCTGACTATTGTTGGACGTATTTTCGAAATTCAAGAATATATCTCCGTGTAACTTTAACGTCGTTATCGGTCACTAGTTGAACTATAATTAAATATCTATGTTATTACAACGTTGTGTGTACAATCCCTGTAATTTACTTATATTTTATAGTTTGAGCATTTTATACTTTATCTAATCTGTCATATATTCGAGTTAAAGAATCATATTAGGTGGTGAGTACCTTATAATCTAGGTAGATAAGGGCCTCAAACAAGAAGAAGCAGCAGTGAGACTGAAGCAGGCGTTCATTCAAGCGTTAGGAGCTGAAGCAGAGGTGATACACTCACTCAAGACCGAAAAAATAGAAGTATGAGATCTGGACTTAGAAACAACGGAGGAGGAGGTTATACCGACAGTCGTAAACACCACGGGTACCGTACCAGACTCGGTGAACGTAATCAGAATGCTTCCCCTATACAGAGGCAACATGATGGCAGAGTCAAAATGAAGAACTAACACGCTTATACACTGCAAAAGTTAGGCCGCCTAATTGTAGGACTTGTGCGATGTCAAGTGAGGCTAAAAACTCAAATTGCAAGATGTTTTAGATGTCATAACTTTAGCCACTTCAGAGCATCATTGTAGAGGAATTAACCGAATGGCCCAGTGCATAACATGTGACCAAGAAAACCGCAAGACGAAGGATTGCAACGCACAACTAAGATGTATTCTATGTGCGGAAAATGGGTATGACATAAACCATTACCCAGGTAGCTCAGCGTGTCGCGAGTTCCAAGAAGCGAAGAAACTTAAGTAACCATCTTTGTTAAATTTACTCGATGTATGCCGAACAGGCAAAAAGCAAAGTGGGGTTAGAGGCCCCCACATATGTAATTCAAAGAAATTCCAAAGAGTGTAAATTGGATTTTTCTTTATTTAATGTAAAGCTTTTTTCCAATAAACGATGAAACGATGGTGCTGTGGAGTGGGGGATGGGGGTGAAATGACTGACGTCGGTGTCACCCCAAGCTTCGATATTCAATGTAAAAAAAAAAAAAAGGTGGTGAGTACCGGATAATGACTTCGACTTATAGAAAAATTCGATGTACTGAAATAACTTTACACATAAGTCCAATACTGAATGATGACGACTAAAAAAAAAATTCGACATACAGAAACTTCGAGATAGCGAGATTCCGCTGTATTTGCACTTCGTTTTTTTATTAGTGATAAGTACCTATGTGATTCTTCAAATAAGATAAGCAATGGTATTGATGTAGCGCGTTGATAAATTCGTAGGTACCATTTATTCGGTACCCTTTCGGTATGTACTTTACAGGTTTTATACGATCTAGATTCGATAACGACTGGATTTCTTATACGTTATCACTTATCTGCTATTAATTGTATATATTATAATATTATTATAAATTATCTTATATTATATATGTGATATTTATTTTTACTGAGATTACTAAAGCTTTTATATCAGTCGTCTTTTTGGCATCAGAAACTTGTTTAGTTGTCTGTAAAGCGCATACCTAACAAATAAGCACCATTTCTTTTTGTCGTTCGCTAAAATATAATATTTAAAGGAACCACTATCAAATTAATTTTACATTTATGTTAACTAGTTTGGGAAAAACGACAATCTTATAATAATAAAATTTAGGCGTAATGAGTAGGGTTAGGTTATCTGAATGGATTATTACCGCAGTACTAATTATGATACATTAACTTAGGCCATAATGATTTAGAGTGTGAAAACTTTGAATTTAACTGTGCTGAAAAACACCTAATAATAATGATTTCTTATAGCGAGTCTCATTGTGTTATTGAAACCAGTTATTCATAACAAAACGCTTACTTTCGTTGCAATATTCGGTGTACTCGTTAGTCGACAGCAGTAAGGTATTACAAAACGTCGGTTGATAGTTACTCAAATCATCGGACACTATTGGATTTCCAGTTACTGTAAAACAACGAAAAATATTTATTAATTTATGAAAAATTATTATTGTATCCATTATAAACAACATGACTGCTCTTCATTTACTTTGAAACGGAACACACAACTTGTCGTCCAGTGCTCTGGCCCAGTTGTTTTTATGTGAGTAAGTTATTTTTTCATATGGCGTGATGCCTTGAATTCCCTTTTGCGTCACCATGTACCACTGGCATCTGTACCACAAGTCTTGAATCTTTCCACTCCCTAAAGTATTAACGTAATAATAATATTAATATTTAATTATTTTAAATTGATTAAATATTAGATTGAAATCCTATCCGCTTGTATATTAATATTATAATCGATTTATTTAATTGATGGTTAATCGATAAGACATTTGACTATGTTATTAGTAAGGTAAAACGATACTTTTTTCTTTGTTTATATGCTATATTACAATATACGTATAAAATTAAAAATTAAATATTCATACAAGTAAGAATAATTTTTATTTAAATCATAATTAAATTACTTAATATTATTAAAACGGTCTAATAAACTATGTATCAGTAAAAAAGAACACTTAAATGTCGTCTCAAAATCTGCTGGAATGTAAATTAATCGATTTATATCTTAAAATATCCACACCCGTTTTCTATTGTTTATTTATATAATATAACAGTATACACTTACCCATATTGTACAAGAGGTTTCTGGTTTTTTTCGTTAACTTCTTAGATGCCTCGTCAAACGTAAAAAATATCACCACGTCACCGACCCTAACCATGTGATCAAGCCATTCGTCTAAATTAGAGCTGTTATACTCATAAGTATCAAAGTTTTTCACAGTCAGTATAGTATATGTAGCTGGTTCTATGACGGCTATATTGATTCCACGTCCACCTGCGGTTCGGTTAAATGCCATGACACTTCAAAAATAAAAGAATAATATGTGAAACGTTGCAATAAATACAAAAAAATTTCAATAATATTCGTACGAGAATAATTATTTTTACTCACTAAATTTATTTAACATTAACAATTGAAATATAAGTTTCGAGATTTTTGTTCTATACCTAATGTGCTACTGTATTTAATCATTGATTAATCACGTAATTTTTTTCAAATAAATATTGTTGAAAATATAGATCACAAATACATCAAAATCATTTAAATAAATATAATCGACAAAAAATCAAATCACTAATCTATACTTCAAAAGTTATTTACATTTTTAGACGTTGTTTATTTCAAAATATTTTGATGAACTATTTAGTAATAATAACATTTATATGATAAGCTATTGTTATTAAATTATGTTAAATAAAATATCTAGTTTTATAGTAATATATTAATTTATCTTATATGTATTAATTTGCCTAATAAGGGTTTCTGTGACGTAGTTTTAATACTTACTATTTTCCCATTATGCACAATTTCGGAAAATCAGTCTTGTTCTTTCCAGTATATATGTGAATAGGAAAAGCATCATCGGAACAAATCGTTTGTAACCCACAATTAGGCAAAATCTCAATTACTTCAATTTTTGGTTTTCCTTCGTCGTCGTCTAAAATAATAATCAGAAATTAATCGGTTAAGATCGAGTTAATACAGTTAGCATTCAATAAGAATGACATGTACCTCCCCTTTGTAAAAAAAAATAACTGACCACAAAATTTGTAATTATATTATTACAAAATCATTGTTAATCAATTTCTATGATGGTCATTGTATACAGTGTTGGGACTATCTAGATAAAATTATCCAAAAGATAATCTAGATAACGTTCAAATTATTTTTCATCTTTTATCTAGATAAATTCAGAGTATCTTTATCTTATACTTATCTTTTTGCGTTTTTTCTGTCGATAGATAATAGATGTTAAACCAAGCAAAGGGTTTTTTTTTTTTTTAAGATAAGAATTTATTATTTTATTTAGCCGTTTTTCATAATTTATCATACAATAATAATTAAAAAATGTGAACTGTAACATTTATATATATTTTAAAATTTAAATTATTACATTAAAAAATATTTTAATACAAATTCTAGTACAACCAAATGTTATATACTTATATATTAGTATTATTTAGTATATATACTAGTATATCTTCATACAATTTAATGTTAACTTATATAACCAAATTAAATTTAGTTAAAAAATTATGATTAATGTAAGGCCACTTAGTAATCACTACTTGTACAGATATTAAAATATAGGTAGGTATAATAAATAATAATTTAAATTAAATAAATTATAAACCTTTAGTCATTATCTTTATCTTTAATCTAGATAAAAATATTGGTTATCTTTCCCAACACTGATTGTGTATTATTAAAAATATAATATTAAACAATATGTACTACATGATGATACATTATTATAGTAAGCGTCTTACGAACACGTTTTTCAGTAAGTTTATATTAAATAATAATAAAACATAATTTAAATAGATTCTAAGTACAGTGAAAAATTTAAAATATTTATAAAATATGTGGATGTAAATATACTAGATGTAATAGTGTTTGTTTAGATAAACTGTATCGCATACCTCTTTTTATAATGAAATTAGGCTTTGATTAAAGATCACGGGAATCAAACGACGTTCTTAATAATTAAAATTCGGATATGAGGTTTAAGTAAAATAGAAAGAAATGTGTGTTGAACTATTCGTAATATATACGATTTTATAAAAAATAAGTAATAATAATATAAAATAAATATATATTACATGTGTGGGAGGTCGTGGCCCATATGAGAATGATAAAGCATATATGTAATAATGGTAGTAAATCCCATACAAGTTTACATGTAATAATAATTGGATAATGAATAATACAAAATGGTGGCTGACAGCTGATTCACGATACCATCAACCGTTGGATATTTGTAGTTCAGACTCCGTAATGATAGTAATGAGCAAGCCTGGGCAAGTTAATGATAATTTTTAACTGAGTTAAGTTAAGTTAATGAAAAACATTTTAAAAAGTATAAAGTTAACAATTAACTTATTTTTTTTTAAAAAATCAGTAAAGTTCAAAGTTATATGAACATTTTTAATCAACTTATTAACTCAAGTTAAATTATTTTTATAATTTTTTATTAATATATTTATATAAATACCCAGTTATATGGTTCAAAATAATAAAAATCATATTCTTGAACACAGGAAATAGTAAATAACTTTTCTATGCATAGAAGTAAATTATTAGCTACTGACGAATAGAACTATGTAGTAAGTTCAAAAAGTATACAAAATTTCGAAATAAATATAATATTTATAATTATAATATAATAATAATTTCATAAAAAATTCACTCGAAAAAATACATAAAATAACACGCAGACATACTACACATATATAATTAAACGAAAAAAATGGTACAGGATTGTGTATACTTTAGTGATGTCGTCACTTAATTATGTACGCTGGTGCACGAAGAGTGTGTTCGGCTGGAATGCAGACGCTAATCAGAATTAAAATTTTAACTATGCATGGACAGATTTAATTTAATTTTGGTGATAATTTACTATCACATGCATAATCAAATGTATATCCAACATTATTTTTTTAGAATTCATAGTAAATATGTTACGAAATCAAAGAATCAGTTTGAAATAATTTATCATAACTACACATACTGTTTATAAATCAAAAATATAATAATTTATTACGAAATAAGAATTTAATTCTAATGTAGAAAATGCGAGTGGAATTTATAGTCATTATATGTGAAATAAATAATAAAACGGTTTAAAATACCTTTAATATATAACAATATTAGTACATTTTCAATTTAACAAGATTGAATTAATTAAAAGTTTAGAATAGAAATATTATAATATTTATTTCAATAAAGTAAGACTCCGAGCCAGTTTTTTTTGATACTGGGGTTATTACTTAGTATATTATCATATAATATATTAAGACACAAATATGTTTAATCCATTAATAACTTATTACTTAACGTGTAATACATAATCAAAAAAAATATATATATAACACAGCATTTTAAATACGAAAGTCCTGAGCAAATAATTTATCATAGCCTTAACTTAGAACCTGGACCCCATGTCTAGACCCCTTGACCCTCTCTCTCCTAAATCACTACTGGTGCAAGGAGTAGTTAAAACTTCGTCAAACATTTTTAATTGTGTGTAAATGTACAGAATACATACTAGGTTTTGGGAATGAAATATTAAATTGCGTGTAAAATACGCATTAACCAACCGTGAAACGTATTGTTAGAATTCCTCGAGGTCTTCGTGGTCCACGCAGAAGACTTTTCACTCTTCCAGTGGAAATAATCTACGTACACCGACTTGTACAGTAAAACAACCATTACGATGATCAAGCAGATGACGAATCGGAATGACGGACCTGTTTCGATAAGGTAAAAAAAAAAAATAAACTAAAGATATTGAAGAAAAAAATCACATTTTTTCCGTGAAGTCCACCATAGTCCGTATTAGCTTACTCGACAGGATGTCGCAGAGCGAATCGTCTTTTCTCGTCTTGTTACAACCATGATCGCCTTCACTACTGCCAGCCCCGTTCCTCAAGTCACATACAACCGGCAACAGTCCCAAATTATCTTTTTTCTTGTTTTTCCTAGTAAAATTCCTGATAAAACCAATAATTTTCTGTTACTTCAAATTGTTATTATTTTCAATAAATATACTAAAAACATAGTTATTTTATAAAAAAATTAAAATATAAAATATGTTATTGAATAAATAATAATAAATTAATTTCTGTAAATCCCAAAGGCCAAAGGTGCCAAGGGTTATTTTTTTAAAAAAAGTAATAAATTATGTAACATTATACTTATATATTACATGTATATTAATAATACTAAATATATAAACTCAAGAAATAGAAATAAATAAAAATTTCAATAAGAATGTTTCATTATCTATACCCATATCGTTATTATTTTAATATTTTTCCATAAATTAATTTCTACTAAATTCAAAGAAATAAAAATGTAAACGCGTTAAACTTATCACGAATATTTCAATAACAACTAAATAAAATCCATTGTCTGTGTACTTAAATTTAAAATGTATAAAATTGAAATATTCAATTAATATCGTTTTGATAATTCATTTTACACTATTACTGAATAACACATGAAAACAAAGCTCATATTTATTTTACAAAATAATATTTTATTTACTAAAATACTAGTCTATATACGGTTGCTGCATGTGTCAACTTCTGACATATTAATACTATTATTAACAGTAAAATATTCTGTTATTATGGAAGAGGTATAACAATTTTAATTTATTCATTATCTATTGATGTTAATGTATTATTTTATTTCAATAATAAATGTATTGTAATTAGTTACAACTACATAAATAGGACTTAATTTGTTGGAGGGAGGCATATATAATACATAATTTTTGTTCCTTAATCTACAAACCATGTGGTATCATGTATCATGTGGCCACATAACATAGTGACGTAAATACCAAGATATAATTTATATTTATTAGAGATATATTCACGTTAATTTATTGATGTTAATAATATTAATTATTGCAAAAACGAACTATGTAAAAAAAATACAGAAGCGTATATGACCTACACACCATCGTAATTATTTGAATGACAATTGTATAAAAATATAAACAAATTAAACTAAAAATCGATAACTTTTTAGATGATTTACTTGTAATCTTTAATATTAAATTGTTTATACCAGTAGACAGACTTTCGATTTTTATTAGTGACTTTCTTATTTACTGTATTCCATATCTAGTCACTCATAATAATAACTAAAAATTTAAAAGTATCCGGTATATGCATAATAACATTTTATTATATTATTTAATTCATTGAACGTCCAAAAAAAAAAAAAAAAAAATAGGGATTAGGCAACTAATAAGACACAAGTGCAAGTGGTTTTATATACGTTCCAATTCAGTAAAATATAATAAAAACATTGGATATAATTTTTTATGATTAAATATATTTATTTATAGAAACATGGTTGTAGGTTCTATCTACTTTCTCTAGAATGGAATTATACTTCTTATTGGAATAAATAATAAAAAATACAATTTTAGATGAAAAATGTAATTCTCTATTATAGTGGTGCATTGTGCAGTTTTCGAAAGTAAATCACTTGAGTATTTCAAATTATTATGTATATGTAATATAAATGGCGAATCTTATTATTGAATACGACGTTTACGCTTACGAATACTACACCACCAAGGTCGTAGATAATAACGAATAACCATAATAGCATTAGTTAACCCGATTTGATATCTTCAGAAGCCATGAAGTAAATCGTTTGTCTCCAATTTAGGTACCTAGGAGATATGTGTTTCTTACAAAATTACTCATGTATAATATAACTAAGATATGAATCCTACATTTTTTTTAAATATTTTCAGAACTATTAGTATGTCCACAGTGCCATTTGCGGCATTTAATTTTTAATAAACAATAAAAACGATTTTCAGAAATGTACCTATTTTTTTTTACGTTTACAATAAAATTGATACTTATTTAAAATATAAAACAAAATTATCGAGAGCAATAATTACAAAGAATTTAATTATATTGGTCAAATCCTCACATCAGTCAATACATTGATAGGTGTTATTTACAGTTATCTATCTATCTATACTTGTTATGCCAAAATAATTGAAAAACAACATGTTTTTTGTAGAACGGTTGAGTATAACAACACATAAGTTTGGCACCCATTTGACTTATTTCTCTCAAAAAATAATCGGGATTCAAGTCCTTCCTAAGTTAATAGGTTAGTCACGTCTATAATTCTATGAAACGCTTTCTAAACTAAATGAAATTAAAAATAAAATTGGTTCGTTTGGCGGGTTACCAACAAGTTGTATTTCATTATTAACAGTTAATAGTTACTATTCATGCTTGTTACATAAGACTCGTTGAATTTTGTTACACATATTACAATTAATATTTTAATTTTAATGTAGAAAAGAGGTATGTAAACACTACTAGAATAATAAGTCCTTTTAACAAAATAATTAAGGAATTAACAATCTTACGAATAAAAACAAATTGTTAAAAAGTATATCTCATAAATTTTAGTACGAATTTGTTTTATGAAACTAATCACTTAACTGTAAATTCTAAAGCTGAATTAAATATAGATGTAGGTACAGTAAAACATCATTGATATATATTCATACAATTACGTACTTATCAATAACTAAAAAAAAAATTATAAATCGTTTTGATAGAATGCACTCCAAAAATATAAATATTTTGATGAAAATGTTTCGTTTGCATAGCTGTACATATTTTTAAGTTAGGTAAAAATAAAGCCAAAACGGTTTTATAAAAATACGCAAATTAATTATAGATCACTTTATTGAAACCTTTAAAATTTTATTGAATTAAAAAAAAATTAAATTTCAAAAAGATGAATCTTAATGCAACTAATAACATACACGTTTGGTGCTCTATAACAGAGTAACATAAGGTATCGTAATTCGTGAGTTAATTGTTCTAATACAGAAAATATTTTAGATGTTCGTAAAACAATATTGTACTTTGCAGTTACAATAATTAATCGCAACGGTTTATTTTATTTTCGGACACGTGTATAATGCAATAGATGTGATCATGAAATCAATCATTTGACTTGTTCGTAGTGATGATCAAAATTGGTCTTGGTCTTGCGGTCTCGCAAGACCAAGACCAAGACGGTACTGGTCTAGTAAGACCAAGACCAAGATTAGGCTTGCAAGAACAAGACCAAACCAATACCGAAGCTGCAAGACCAATACCAAAACAAGACCATCACTGCAAGACTAGCAGTCTTGCAAATTTTTTTTTTTTCCCCGAAAAGACATTAGTTATCTTGATTTCATTAATTAATAATTTATAACGAAAATAATAAGAAATTATTTTTATTGTTATTAAATTTGATCAGTATTTAAGGAAATGACGAATTATTGAAAAAATAATTGGAATTAATATTATAAAATAACATGATATAGTTGTTTCATACTTAGCAGTTACTGAAAAATTATTTTTTTTCCCCAAAATCGTTGAAAACGTCGAAAGTTGTCTTGCTCATAGAATAATTTATGACTTATGTCCATAGTACACCACTACTTTGAATCGAATATACTAATAATTGTTGGAAGTCATTAAGGACTATGGTAGATATCATTTTTATTGGAAGTACGTTTTTATTTTTGTTCGTAGCTTGTGTGATTTTTCCGTAATAGACATTGTGTACGTAACTAACCTAACCTAACCTACACAGCTATAATAGGTAGATATTTAGTTTTTTTTTTATATTTTGTGAAAATAGCAAGAGTCTTTCGAGAGTCTTGCGTAAGACTAAGATCAAGACCAAGACCAAAAACAAGATTTTGAAATTCTTGGTCTTGGTCTTGTTTTAATCATCACTACTTGTTCGAGAAAATTCCGGTGAGATAAACACACTCATATGACATGGAATACAATGAAATTTAGACAATTGTAGTTGATGAGTTAAAAGTCAACGATTAGTCGGATTTCGAGCAATTAACGATCCCATAAAAGAATTTTACTTGCCAGCGGCACACCAATAGAGCACCTGGCCATGAGCATTTGCTTTTTTCAGTTACATTCGAAAACTGCATGCTTTTGACTTCGACCCTAAAAAGGTCGATGGACAAATATCATACACTTTATCGGTCATTGTATTACAAAATACTGCATATTTATTGTGGATTAAAACCGCACACTATTTTTAGAACTAATTGATAGATAAGTTATGATAAGCTGTTATACAATACTTATGTTAACACGTTTTAAGTCTTTAGTCGCCACTCGTTATTAGTGGGTCTTATATATACTTAGTGGTTAAAATGCAAGTGACATTTTGTATTTTTATAAAGGATATAACAATTATTGATAATAATTCAGTGGCAAGTGTTTATTATTTGATTATTTTAAGTACATAAAATATAAAGTGTGTAATAGTAGAAATATGATTTAATCCACGTATAACATGCAGTGGAATGAAGAATATAATACAGACTAAAAATATACATAAACATAAACCTATGAATACAAAGAAAATTCAAATTCAAAAGGTATGCAATAAATGTAAACGTAAGGCTTCTTATGATATTCATGAAAAACCTCAAAAAATAATAATTTTCCAAGGAAAATAATAGAATTATGGTAAGCAATGACATAAGCTCATAAGGAAGTTGATGTATCATGAAACTTTTACCTTTACCGAAAAATTTGGATGGTGCTCTAGACTTTTTTTCAAATTGCGATATTTTAAAATGTCAAAAAGATAAAATGATCTATTTGTATAAACAAGTTTTGAATTGTTATGTAATCATTGTGATGAATACTTGACTAATGGTATTTTTACAGTCAAACTTAAATATTGTTATCAATTATACGCTATACAGATGGTGCGGGAATTATTTTTTATTTCTTTAATACATTGATTTTTACTTTCTAAAACTGAATCTTGTTAAATAAAAATGTGGGTCAATATTAAAAATGTATGTATGGAGTTAAGACCAGTTTTAAATATTAACATTATTCATTTAAATTATAAGATAGCTGCTCATAATACTGTTTAAAAACATTTACCAGAGAAA